CAGGCTCTCCCTGAGTCAGGCCGATTTTTGGCGAAAACGGAAACACACGCCAAACATATTCAATCAGTACTCAAAAATGGTCAAAAATCGTCCCCATACGATTTTCGGACTATTTTTGAATTTTTCCCCTGTAGAGGGACAGGCCAGACTTGAGAGTGGGGTGCCTGCCTTCCAAGCTTCTCTCCAATTGCAGATGCGGCCCGGCATAATTCCCAAGGGGAATGATCGCCCCCGCGTGAATGAGAAAATAAGCATCGTGGCCTCGGGTCTGTCGGCGCAGATGCATCATGATGCATCGTGGCCCTAGCTTTTGCCATTGGTGCGCCCTCCTGGGAGTTCAGGCTTCCCGTGAGGACCAGGGCCTCGGAAGACATTCTCTGCCCTAGCAAAATCCAGCGTCTGCTGCCCCGGTGGGCGGACTGAGAAATTTCACGAGCTTGTCGATCATGAGCGGCGAACATATCCGTGTACGCGCACGCGCGGTCTGGATTCTGAGACGCGATACGTTGTCGCACGGATTCGTTCCGGGGCATCGGCGAAAAAAATCGCCCTGTATCTGCGGGGCCGCGGCCCAGGGGCCCAACCCGCGAGGCCGTGGATATGGCCAGTCTTTCCAGCTTGAAGGGGCACCGTGGGTAACAACCGGGGGGGCCCTGAGACGTAGTGCGAATATTTCATCAGCTCGAAGTCCTCTGTGGCGTTCTTGGTTTCGATGGAGCTGGGGTCTGTCTGCGCGAGCAGCAACAACTTTGGCTAGGCGATCGGCGGCATCGTTATCTGTGGCATGCAACTAATATAAGCTGCCTCGATCTAGGCAGTCTGGCACATCATGGGCCATGGGCCTTGGCTTTGTGGGTCTTGGGGCACGCGTGGGCCCGCTGGAACCTCAAAAACGCTTTAAACACCTAGCACATACATTATCCCGGCAAAGCAACCTAACAGCGATGTGTATAAGCATATCTGGAAGCATTCCCCTTAAGATTCAGGTGAGAATCCAGTTGTAGAATTCTGCTGTTCTCGCAGTCGCAGTCGCATTCGCAATGACAGTCGCAGTGGCAACGGCCTTAGGATCCAATGGAATCCTAAGGATTCCTAGGGATTCCTAAGGTCTCCTTAGGCATCCTTAGGAATCCATAGGAATCCTTAGGAAACCTTAGGAATCCTGATTCCTAGGGATTCCTAAGGATTCCTAGGGAATCTGAAGGATTCCTAAGGATTCCTGAGGATGCTCAACTATGCCTACGGATTCCTAAGGATGCCTACGGATTCCTAAGGATTCCTAGGGATTCCTAAGGATTCCTACGGATTCCTACGGATGCCTCAGCCTGCCTCAGTTTCAGCCTCAGCCTCAGCCTGCCTCGGCTTGCCTCAGCGTCAGCCTCAGCCTGCCTCGGCCTCAGCCTCAGCCTGCCTCAGCCTCAGCCTCAGCCTGCCTCGGCCTCAGCCTGCGTCAGCCTCAGCCTGCCTCAGCCTCAGCCTCAGCCTCAGCCTGCCTCGGCTTGCCTCAGCCTCTGCCTCAGCCTGTCTCGGCCTCAGCCTGCCTCGGCCTCAGCCTGCCTCAGCCTCCCGTCCTCCCCCCCTTCCCCCCCCCCATTCAGCCTCACCTTGTCTCAGCTTCGGCCTGCCTCGGCCTCATCCTGAGCCTCAGCCTCAGTCTCAGCCTGTCTCGGCCTGAGCCTGCCTCGGCCTCAGCCTCAGCCTGCCTCAGCCTCAGCCTGCCTCAGCCTCAGCCTCAGCCTGTCTCAGCCTCAGCCTGCCTCAGCATCAGCCTCAGGCTTGCCTCGGCCTCAGCCTCAGCCTCAGCCTGCCTCAGCCTCAGCCTCAGCCTGCCTCAGCCTCAGCCTGCATCAGCCTCAGCCTCAGCCTGCCTCAGCAGCAGCCTGCATCAGCCTCAGCCACAGCCTCAGCCTCAGCCTGCCTCAGCTTCAGCCTCAGCCTCAGCCTGCCTCGGCTTGCCTCAGCCTCAGCCTAGCCTCAGCCTCAGCGTCAGCCTCAGCCTCAGCCTCAGCCTGCCTCAGCCTCAGCCTCAGCCTGCCTCAGCCTCAGCCTGCGTCAGCCTCAGCC